ATGAGGTGTCAATTTAGAACAAATAAAAGATAACAACTACATATTCAATTATTATTTCACGGGTCATAGTTTTCAATTGTACATGACTTTTTAGATCTATGCATTTCCATCAAGAGAGAAAAATCAGAAGGAGACTACGTATCAATTGAAAGATCATAACTCATTCAAACAATCAGACACATATGGATCAAGGTATGCTTCCGCTTTTAATTTTCTCTTTGAGAGTGTTATCCCCCAGTTTCGGGGTATAAAGAAGTTGGGCTACGTGGCTTGCACGTGGTAGTACGGCTAACGAGAAGTCAAGAGGAAGGCCAATAGATCAAAAGTTCAAGGGAGAAATGGGCCGAGGTCCTTTCATAACAAGCATCGGACTGAAGTACTTCCTCAAAGGCGAGGCACAATCCAATCCGAGGTTATCACAGGGTCGTTCGAAACCCATAAGCCAACGTCGCCTCAACAGATTTGGAGATCTCTTAGTATTGATTGATGGGACGTCCGTAGTAAAGTGTCAGTAACTCTTTTAATGGCGTTGTCAGCCTACTTCTAGTGCGGCTGACCTTTTATCAAACATTAAATGTAACGAATGGATGTGATGTGAAGCTTCAGTCTAAGAAACGTTGCCACATGGATCTGATCCAACGATCATCACGTCAGTTAGAACAGTATAATAGTCTTCCTTTGCATATATTCATGCACTTTGATTTACTGGATCTTGAATAATACAATCGATATTGAAATCACAAGACATTACAAGAGATTGCCTTTTATCTGTCCTTCTACATATTCCATATAAAAGAAAAACAGATACTCATTTCAGAGAAATCGATCGAGCTCTTGTAGATAGCGCAAGAGCCGTTAAAATCCAATCACCGGAGCTTGAACAGTTGTGTCTCTTGTCGGAAAGCACCTCCCGTGTTCCATTCCACCATATTACCGCTTCAATCCTGATAGAAATGACGTGGCAAGAGTGGACACGGTATCTGTTGAATTCATTTTTTGGGGTCAACAAGTAGTTTGACAAAAAATGTGCTTAAGAATGCAGGACAACCACATGAATAAGTAAAAAAAAGGGAGAGGCCTCTCAATTCAACTATAAAATCATGAAAAACAAGATTCTGCGTTCTAACATGCAATATCTCAATATAACGTATAACAAATAGAACAATGCTCTTTGTACATTTTTCCATGACAATGAGTTTGACACTCCTTTGTTTTTCAAAAATGGAGTTGGCGGGAAAGTAAATTATTTTCAAAAACTGTCCAATGCAACGACGCCACGTTGCACAATGTAAAGAATGATGTCAAACTTAGTGTACTTGTAGCATGACCCTAACAAATATCATCTAATTTAATTCTCATATTTAAATTCCTTTTTGTATAACATATTCTTTTCTGATGTTTCTCCCACCCACTTTCTCTCTCTTACTCTACATATCTGAAAATCGGTGCATTCTATCTCCAGTATATCAAAAATTGATCCAAAACTATCGTTGAAATTGATCATAATTTGATGAGTATAGTTCTTCAACAGTAGATTTCGACCGAGTAAGTCACAATGCCATCGTTAATTTTACAATTTCATATGTTTATGAGGGCTAGCTTTGAGTGAGTCAATAATCCGATGATAGAATTTGAAAATTTTAAAACCAACACATTTCACCTTCATTCTAGCTATTTTCTAGTCACATAGCAGTGAAGAATTATTGTTTCAAATCGCATCGACATTTATAAGGGTGGTTTTAAGTCTTTATTAATTGTGATCGATTATGAACAAATATGTCTTCATCGTGATCGTGACTAAATCCGTCTTGCTCACATATGGTCACGGTTAAAGACTGATCTGGTGACAGACAAGCCCAATTAAGACAAACTTAGTTACAGTTGGTCATAGATATCACAGGTTTTGTCACAAATAATAACAACATACACAGATTTGGTCACAAAAAATCATTGTTAAACAGAACATGTTTACATACATCACAAACACACACGGTCAGTAGGTCATAATCATACTGAAATTTTATGAAATACACCACGACCACCTCCACCTCCACCTCCACACTATCAAACTGATTTATTATAGGTAAGACTCCACCACCGTCGATACCACCCAAATTGGTCACCACCTCAAATCCACAACCTCTTCACTAACTTCACCTTAAATCCAACTCAAATCTATGTCGCACCCAATTATCTGTCCTCGTAGATTCTGATGAAAAACTAGTGTGAAATACATATGGCTATCTTCATTTGTGCCTATGTGTTTGTATGTATATATACAAAGAGAGTTTGTGTAGATAGATGACGTAGAAAGAAAGAGCGTGAGCTTGTATTAGTAAAGAGAGAGAGTCGTAAATATCTTTGTAATGATTTGGGGATGGGTAGGATAAATCATGACTTATACTTCGAATAATGTTATTTATTATTATGATGATGAAAATATCGATAATGTGATATTTTATGTGGAATAATAGGATTGGAAGTTCAATTTTTATGAGAGTGAGGGGTGAGAGAGAGATGTGAGAGATAATAAGTTACCACGTCGCTGAAATTTCATCATTATGATCATAAATATCATTACTTTGACGCATGTCGCAATAGAGAGAGTGGGTGGGTATATTATAGTGGGGTATATATAAATTGTTATATTAAAAAATAAATATCTTTATTATCACCTGATTTGTGAAATTAAAACTAATCCACCTTATTTTTGAATATTATATTTTATATGTAGAATTTTGGGTAATTTTTTCTTGTTTAAAAATATTTTATGATGATCCAATTAAGTAATTCGCCCATTTTCAAATAGTTCCATTACCGAAGAACCGTCTCGAATCTCATGGAATCAGAACTAAATCAAATCACGTCCAGACCTTATAAATCGACGAAACTAAGTTAAGCGTTGATCTTGATAAAAATGAATCAACTATGTAAATTTTAGTTTACCATTTTCTCTTCTAACATATTCAATTATGCCGCAAAATTTTTTAGAAAGGAAACCTGCATTAGACTTCTGAAAACATGTTCACAAATCTAAATTGTCGTCTTCTTACTTTATCTTCATACTTATCTATCTTATCATCTTCTGAACGTTATATTACCTAATTTGTGTAGTAGTTGAATTTAATTTAATGTCTAGCTATGTTTTCATGGTCTTAGCACACTCTTAGCCAAATACTATTGGCTGACCCAATTGGTTTCTCATATTTAATTTAATAATCTTAAGTACACTTTATTTGCAAGCCAGGCTGGAAAATGTTGAAATAGTGTTTCATTTGCAAATATAAGAAATATAAGGGAGTAAATTGTTATTTTCTTTAAAATGTAAATCCGACCAAATCCGATTGAACCGGGGAAGTTGGAATTAATGCAATCATTGACCTAAGCCTTTTACACGTTAACCATTTTCCCAAGAAATATATATTAGGAAAAAAAATAATCGGAATATTTTTTAGAAAAGCCATTGAACTTTCAATTTGACTACAAAAAGACACCCGAACTTTCCAAAACCGCCTAGTTTAGCCTTATTTGTATAAAAATGCCCTCGCACATTTAATAAACAAGCAGTAAGAATTTGAAATTTTAAGTGGATAGCAAATAGTAGAAGTATAAAACCAATCTTTATTATCTACGTTTTTGGAATCGTCACATCAAGTTCATTTTTGAATCTTACTCAGTATCATATAGAGGTATTTATGACAATGTGACAATTTATTAATGTTGATTTCAAAAAATGCGTCAAAAGAATCTTGACCACCTCCCCCATTGAGGTGGAAGTATAAGCCCAAGAAGAAGTTGCAACGATGTTACTTAGCCTATATTTGGTAGCAATTAAAATCAAGATTTTAATACAAGTCAATATCAATAATAAGTTTTAACCACACATTTTATCATATTTTATCAAAATCTACTAAATAAATGATTTTAATCCAATCAAACAGGGGCAAAATTTAATAGCTACAATCCAATTGAATAATCATGTCGAGTTGGCCAACGTAAAACCCCATCCGTCATGTGCATGCCACACAATTTATGGATATAACAATTATTTTTGCATTAAAGTGATAAACATAATTGTCATGAAACAACTTATTAATAAATTAATCACTTCGAAATAATATTCATCACACATCGTGAGATCAAGTAAAGGCTTTGGGTTCTAGTAAACTCTGTACATCCATTTCATTAGGAATTAATGATGTTTTAACAGACATCTTCGTCTAAGCAATAGCTAATTCAAGTTGTTGAACAACAATATTTGATTTTGAAGAAGCACAATCATTATCGAAACATTTCATATAGTTTTAGTGTGTGGATATTTTGCAAAATTCTCCATTTTCTTTTACCTCGAATTTTTGACGCTATGTAGTAAATAACATTCATTATCCAAAAATTGTGGTAAAAAAACTCTCAAATTTAATTGGAATTAATGGAAATAAGGACCAAATTAACCATTTCAAAAAGATGGAGGGCTTCATTAAACTTTTTCCGACAAAGTAAGTGCAAATGGGTTCATATTATAAAGCAAACACCAAAAATAATTGAAAATTAACCCTCTAACAATTTACTTTGATTGTTCTTTGACTTTAACGACAACTTCTGCTGACTCAATCATTGTTAATTATAATACAACCCTTTAATTTACAGGCAAATTGGGAATTATAAATAAAGTAAAAAAAAAAAAAAAGTGAAATTCGAGTACCAAAAATCGATTATTTGAATAAATTATTGGCAAAAGAACAAAAATTTCTCTATATAACTTCATACACACCCTTCAATTTTCCTTCCCCTTTCCTTTCCTTTCCTTTCCTTCCTTTCTCTTGGTTTTCCTTTTCTTGCCTAAACACAATATTTTCCCTTCACCATTTGTCCTTGCAATTCCTACATTGCTGTTCTGTCTATATATGCATTAAGAATATCATAATTGTTCCTTAATTTAAGCTCATTCTTGAAAAAAAATCACTTTTTTTTGTTGAATTTCATCTGGGTTTTCATTCCTGATGGATAGAGTGATTTCTGAAAGCTGGGATTCGCCATCGCAGTTTGGAACCACTTGGAATGGACTGAATTTCACTGCACTGCAATCTTTTCTCGACACCAACTGGGACAAGACTTGTACAGATCAATTTACACATTTAGAGCCACCTTTAAGCTCCAATTCGAGGTTTTCAAATGATTTGGCCCTCCGGGAGTTGATTGGGAATTCCGGCGGGTTTCCGGCGAATGCAACGGCCACCACTGCCGCCATGGCGGCGGCTACTAATACTAATAGTACCAACAATACTTGCTATAGTACGCCCTTAAACTCTACCCCTAAGCTGCATTTCCCGATTCTTGATCAAATTAACGTGCGCCATTTGGGGAATTCACTGCCTCCGATTCCTCCTCTGCCTGCACTTTCCTGTGATCCAGGTTTCGCGGAGAGAGCAGCCAAGTTTTCGTGCTTTGGCAGCCGGAGTTTCAATGGTAGAACAAGTCCATTTGAATCAAATAATGCTGTGTGGAATGGGAATTTAACCCGAGTTTCGAGTAGTCCTTCTCTTAAACAAGCTGGATCCCCGGCGGAAAACAAGAATTTGAATCAATCACAGATGGAATTCAGGTCTCTTAATGGGATGGTTGATAAGAAATGGAGTAAATTATCAGGGGCAAGTGCCAATTCTAATGAGGAATCCTCTGTTTCTGAGCAAATCCCAAGTGGAGAATTAGGTTCAAAATCCCCAAATGAACTCAATTCTAGGAAAAGAAAAGCTGCTTCTAAAGGAAAGGCCAAGGAAGATACATCAACTTCAGCTAAGGTATAGATATTTTGTCAATCTATGTGAAGTGTGAAATAATAGAAAACGCAATAATTATAGAACAATACTTTCATTTCAGGGATTTGAAGATTACAACGATCCAAAAACGAAGCAATCAAAGCCTCAAGAACCTAGCAAAAATGAAAATGATGATGTTAAACCGGAGGAGGAAGCTAAGCGGAATCCAAATGGTGCTGAGGATGAAAGTGAGAAACAAAAGGCTAATCAAAAGCCCGAGGCACCAAAGGATTACATTCATGTCAGAGCAAGAAGGGGCCAAGCCACCGACAGCCACAGTTTAGCAGAAAGAGTATGTATTTTAGACAATTTCTTCAATAATACATTGAATCATATAATGCGATCGCCATATTGTAATGTCAGTTGTCAAGATTAGATGTTCCGCTAGACGTAGTACCGAAATCATGTAGCTGACCCTAAAATTATTGAGACAATGTTTAGTTTGTATGTTGTGATGTTCCTCGTTCTCGTTTGATTAGGTTCGACGAGAGAAAATCAGCGAGAGAATGAAGCTTCTACAGGATCTAGTACCAGGCTGCAATAAGGTTTGCAGCATTGCTTGCTAATTTCAAATATTCAATTTGACGAATTACTATATCAAGTTCATCCGTAATGTTTCCTTGAAAAATCCACGTTTTAGGTGACTGGAAAGGCTCTAATGCTTGATGAAATCATTAACTATGTTCAGTTGCTGCAACGCCAAGTTGAGGTATAAATTAGAATACATTAAAAGCTTGTAGTATAAAATGTTTGTTTTAGATTTCAACTTTTGTTGGGCTAATGGTGTTTTGGACTAAAATTTCTGCAGTTCCTTTCTATGAAATTAGCCTCAGTAAATCCAAGACTGGATTTTGAAATGGAAAATCTTCACTCCAAGGATGTGAGTAAATTTTACCTTGGCGAATATATTATTCTTTATGTTCGAGTAGATCTAGTAGTGAACCGAATGGAATCGAGAAAAAAGATTCATTTAGCCAAATCAAAATTTATTTTCGAAGATTTGGAGTTTCTGAAATATGATTTGTTGGATGTCCATTCAGATATTTCAAGAAAAAGGAAACCTGCCCCAACTAATGTACCCTTTGGATTCCCCAGCAACAGCATTCTACAATCATCAACCCCAGCAGAATGTACAACTACATGATGCCCAAATTTCCAGGGGACCATTGAATCAATGTTCAATGGGCCCTTTAGATGCCCACAACCCAGGAATTCAATTATCTTCGATGGATGGATTTGGTGAAAGTCTTCCTCAGGTAATCTACTGTTCAACAGCTAAAAAATCTTGTTCATAATGCTGTTGAGTACTCGCATTGAACATACACTAAAATGTATGAAGAATTTTTTTTTTTGACATAATCTGATATTTTTATCGACCTCGTATTTCCAGTTCCCAGCATTCAGTGGCCATGATTTGCAAAGCATTATTCAGATGGGTTTCGGCAAGGATCCTGTTAAAGAGAATGCATTTCATTCAGATAACTTCCATGGTAAAGACAAGAAAAGAATCAGAAAAATTACAGTGATTAAATATTGTTTTAAAACTTGTCATTTATAAGTACTTGTTTTATGCAGTTCCAAATCAAACATCCCACATGAAAGTTGAGCTGTGATCACCATTTGTTTATGCTCTCTGCTGTATGCCCGAAAGGAGAAAGAGGCTGCTGTAAATAAGAATATAATTTAGTACAAGATGATCGATAATTCGAGGAAATTTTCTTTTTCTTGTCTTAGTTTCGTCCTATGCATTTTATTTCGATATTGTAATTGATGAATTCCTGTTTCCAATTTTTTATGGGGCAATTTTACAATTAACCATTGTATAATCCTAGAAGCAGATGCCTATTTCTGGTGCAAAGTCTTAACAGCACCATATATGTACTCTTATTTAATGTAAGATATTCTTAGTGGAAATGAGAACTAATCTTTCCATCGCAATTCATATATATATATATTTTTTTGTTTTAGCAGTCGACATCTCATTTATTGGCTTGTTTGGTAGTTTAAACTAAGCAAGACTAAAGAAGGAAAAGTAATTAAACTCTTATCTTATACTGTACAATACTGTTTAGCCCATCATACCGATTATAACCCACACGTCAAATCTTGATGATGCATTGCAATCTTTCTCAAGATCTTCTCACGGTGGTGTCCATTAAAGTGTTAAATCGCGTTTTCTGGTGGTTGTGACTTGTGATTGTTACTGCTTATGTTGTAACCAGCTGTATAAGTGGGGCTCTTTTCATTTAGAAGTCTTAATACAAATAATAATTTTGATTAAACTTTTGTTCTAGTCTAACATAATTTCAGGCACATTTTGTGGGCACCTGTAATTTTCACAGAGAAACCAGAAACTGAACCTTCGTCCTTCTGTTCTCTTTTTCACCCTGCACAGAATAAGCAAAAGGCTGGAACTTGGAACCAGTCATTTACAGCCTATACATACATACATTTTTATGTTTATACATGAAAAAAAAAAAAAGGAATCCCAAGTTGTCATTGGTGAGATTCTGTCTAGGCTCAATGAAAGTAATGGCTTTAAAAAATTAATTTTAAAATTTTATAAAACTTAATATGAACAGGAAAAGGTTAAGTAGTGTAGTAGGAGAGCATGAAAAGATGCCCCTAAAAGATTATTGAATCATTTGATGAGAGGTGGTTAGTGAAAAATTGGGTTTAACAAAAGATTTGTGCATTTGCAGCCTTTGGTTATTTTCTATTATTGATCTTTCTGATCACAGTGGCTTGATTTCTTTGAAAATGATCTTTTGCATAAAAGAGTAAAACATATTATTGTATATTTGAACATTATTGGTGATAATAGAATTGTCTTGAATAAATATGTGTGTTTGAGCCACATTATTTTGGAAGAATGTATTCTGGAATAATAGATTGATGGAGAATTTGTGGTTGAAAAAGAAGGAAAAGTTATTGATGTGATGGAAAATATTATTTTATTGAAGAATGTGTGGTTGAAAATGAGTAGAAGAATGAGAATGAAATTTTTAATAAAAAAGGAATCCCAGGTTGTCATTGGTGAGATTCTGACCAGACTCAATGAATTTAATGGCTTTAAAAAATTAATTTTAAAATTTTATAAAACTTAATATGATCAGGAAAAGGTTAAGTAGTGGAGTAGGAGAGCATGAAAAGATGCCCCTAAAAGATTATTGAATCATTTGATGAGAGGTGGTTAGTGAAAAATTGGGTTTAACAAAAGATTTGTGCATTTGCAGCCTTTGATTATTTTAATCAGGGTTCTATTATTGATCTTTCTGATCACAGTAGCTTGATTATCTGAAAGATTCTTTGAAAATGATCTTTTGCATAAAAGAGTAAACCAACATATTATTGTATATTTGAACATTACTGGTGATAATAGAACTGTCTTGAATAAATATTAAAGAATGCCAATCATTCAAGAAATGTATCTGGCAGTTTGTAAATAAAATTTCTTATTCTCAGAGCTGAATGGCTTCTTAGCCACTGGAGTTCCGCCGTGGAAGGTTTCACAGTGGCCGGAATTAAAAAAAGTTCAAATTTTTTAATCCATTTTTGTTGTATACATGGTCATAAACGACCTAAACGGACTAAATCTCCATTAAATTGTCGTATAGTTCTAGTATGTCCAAAATTTTTGAGTCTATTTCCTCGAATTTCAATATATTCTTTGTGGACCTAAAACACTGTACAAATTAATGAAATTCAACTCAAAGATCTCTTGAACAGATGTAGATTCTTGAAAATGATTTCTTGCTAGTCAAACAAAACAGTTGAATAATTGATTTTTATTTTAAGAAAATAAGGTGAGTTGTTGAGAAGAAGATAATTATCAAATTTCGTCAAATCAAATCTTGATGGTAAAATAATAAAACTAAACACTTCTAAAAAATTATTAAAATATGTTCAAAAGTAGCTTTTTAGCCCACGTTTGGTGCACATTTTGAAGGTAAAAATGCATTTTTACTGTTGATATGATGGAGAATATGTGGTTGAAAAAGAAAGAAAAGTTATTGATGTGATGAAAAATATTATTTTATTGAAAAATGTGTGATTGAAATTGAGGAGAATAATGAGAATGAAAAAAATAATGTAGACTATTTTTTAAATAAAAAATAACTAGAATATTCATAATTTTAAACGAAACATGAAAATTTTATCATTAATAAAATAACATAATCACTAATTAAGCCCCCGTTTGGTGCACATTTTGAAGGTAAAAATGCATTTTTACTGTTGATATGATGGAGAATATGTGGTTGAAAAAGAAAGAAAAGTTATTGATGTGATGAAAAATATTATTTTATTGAAAAATGTGTGATTGAAATTGAGGAGAATAATGAGAATGAAAAAAATAATGTAAACCAAACAGAACCTTAATTTCAAAAACAGAAACTTAAAAGTCAAGTCAAATGAATCCTAATATCTTGTCTGGCAATATAGAAAAGAACTTATTCAATTCGAACACATTTTAAAATAACTCAGAACTTTTCTACTGAGACAGATTTTTTCCCTTGATAGATTCTCAAAGTGTTTATTATGTCATTGACAAAGAAAAGCAGCAAGAATAAAGCTTAGCTTAGCTGCACTATAAATTACCCAGAATTTTTTTTTCCTACTGTAGATTTCTAGGTGCATCTATCAATCGTGGCATTGACAAATGTGACTTGAGGGCATGATCGTCTAGATTTAGCTTTATGATTAGTGTAGAACGATTTGATATATGGATTTCAATTGGATGTTGTATGCTATTTAAAAAGGATGAATCGCATTCTTGGCGACCCCCACCTGCCATATCCTGGGACTTGGTGAAGGAGGTAAATCGCAGGTTATGCCTCCAAGGGTACAGGGTGGAAGACTGTTTGTACACTTGCACTTACCCAATGGCCAAATCCATATTTCAGGATTCGAACCCTTGACGCGGCAGCCTCAAACAAAATTGAAATTTTTCTACCTTCCCTCTTTACCAATTGGAGATGTGCCCTAGGAGCGTTGTTGTATGCTTTAGTTTTAATGGTAAGTGGCTCTCTATGTGACATTGAAGTCACTGCCACATTGTTCAATCTAAAATATCACATCAAGTGAAAATCATTTTTGGACGATTTTAACGCTACTACAGTTCAATTATTTCAATAATACTTTACTTTTCGTTTTTTAATATGTAATAAATGCTACAAAATCATTGTCATGTATGACTTTCATGTTATTAATTCTTAATTAATTAACATTCACATTAATCTATACTCAATAAATTCTGACTTTATGAATCTTGATATACATGAATCTAGAGTTATTATTGATGAATTTATTTATATTCATGTATTTAGGAATTTTAATGGGTGTTTACATTTATGTATTAGAAATTAATTCTTATGTACCAAATGTCTTTTTATCTTTCTATATATAAAAAGTGCCTATTTAACGGAATTTGTTGATTTAACGGAATGACTAACGGAATTTGTTGTTTTAACGAATTATGTAAC